TATAGTCTAAACTCCTAGTATCCCCCTTAATAAGCCCTATAGTAGTCCCCTATATAATCCCCTATATAACCCCCCTTTAAGGAGTTTAGACTACAGCTCATATGAAGTTAGGGTGCTTAGGAACCTTCGCAGAGCCTCAAGCAATCTTCCAAACACTAAACCCATACCTTTTCAGGATTGCTCTGCCAAAGCAAATGAGACGGGAAATCTGTAACCCCTAAACCCTAAACCCTAAACCCTGAACCCTACCCCCTCAACCCCTGTTAAGCAACGACACGCTTGAAGGCTTCGAGCTTAGGGATTTAGGTTGAATGGTTGAAGGATGCGCGGGCGCAGGCTTGACCTAAGGCTTGTGGTCAGGGTTAAAGGGTTTAGGGTTGAGGGTTTTAGGTCTAGGGTGTCAGGTATAGTAGGGTCTAGGCTTCTAGACTTGAAAGTTTAGGGTTTAGGGTTTGGAAAATGGAAGTGCGAGGGTTATGCCATCTTTCCCTCTTCCTAAATTCAAAAAAAGTAAAGGAAAACTGATGTTGGAATGTTCTGGCTTACACGTTTTCCAGAAGAAATAAAACGCGAATAGAGTCGATGCACAGCTACATGTGGAAAATGCTTGGGCATGATTCCCTAGCAGCCAGCTGAGCCATCGAGCCTTGTTTAAGAGTCCAGGGTAAGGGCTTAGGATTTCATGTGTAGGATTCGCGTAAGCTTACCAACCAATGGCATTTTTACATACTCCCAAAAATCTGTTGCATGGGCCGTTGTGGAGATCCTGTGGCCGTCCCTAAACCCTAAACACGTAAGCTTAGCACTGCAAGTTATTGTGCGGTGTACTTCTACCGTACCAAATATTCAGCCATAGACAGTGCCACAAAATTATTCGCTACACCTGCTACCCTTTGGGGTAATATTAGGGTTATATTTGGGGTTATTTGGGGTTAATGGAAAATAAAAAGGAAACTACTATTTAGGGTTTAGGGTTTAGGGTTTTAGAGCTTTTGGCTTAAGGTCTGGCTCAGCTCGTAGGAATTGTGTCAAGCAGGTACCTTATCCAAACCTCGCGGAAGTGTCTCTACAAGCTGAGTTCAAGCCGCATTACCGTTTTCAGAAGGGAAGGTGCGATTCTGAAGGCCCCACTACCAGGAGAAGCAGGGTATAGATTTTTGGTGGTACTCAGGGAATGCAAATTTCGACGCCGGTAATTTTACGCCTGCACCGACTGTACACGGAGAGGCAGAGTCAACTCAGACATACAGATCCACTGCAAGACTCCTCGCGGGGTAAATTACAGTTGAAAACGTTCCCAGAGAGACTCTCAGAGGTTGAGAAAATGAAGTGACTTTTGCCTGATGTTGGAGTTTGGCAAGCAGTAGTTGCCAGGCACAGGAATATGAGGCAGTTGAAATCATGAGGCAGGAAAAATCAGGAACACAGGCAGCAAGAAGAGTATGACGCTGCTGTTATGATGTGCTAAGCTTTAACTTTATACTGAAGATCTCGGACTGCGTGACACATGTGAGAAATCTGGGTACTTCGTCCTCCTCAAGTAGATAGAATATGACTTTGCCCTATAAGATAATAAGATGTCCATGTACCCCATGTTCTATCTACTTCAAGGGGGGGGACTATATATCCCCTAAACCCTAAACCCTATATCCCTTGAAAGGGGAGAAGACCATAATTTCAGGTCTAGTCCTAGGGTTGACGCTGTACGGTGCGGGGCAGGCCCCATGAGAACACTTGGACCTTACACTTGGAAGGTATAAAAAGAGAGAATGGTAAAGAAAAGCGAAACTACTGGTTGGGATGTAGGGTTTTGGGTTAGTAGGGAATATGGGAATATAGTATATAGGACTTCTATAGGGATTATATTCCTGTATTCCCTACTAAGAACCAGCAAGTAAATCTTAAGCCCGAACCTCAGGAAGTCTTGATAGCGGAACACATCTTTTGTGCTATACACATGACAGGTGCCGGCAATCAGCATCAAGCCTTGCAAAGCCTGAGCCGCCTAAACTCTAAACCTTAGGTTTCAGGGCACAGACTGAGCCCTCCGTTTATATGCCCTGGGAAATTTGTAGCTTCATGGTAGTCACTAAAAGCCGTCTGGTTCATGTTTGAGGGTTTGAGGTTCAGGCTCTGTGGCTTCGGACACGTTTTAAGGGCTTAGGCTTAGGCTATAGGACTTCAAGATCTAAGAGGGCTAAATCCTTTGTCAAACCTCTACGGGAGGTTGGGCTTAGGAACTTCTAGACAGGCTCTGGTATGGTATACTTTGCTCTGTCTGCATAGGGGCTTTGTAAGGCCTATATTGGGGTTGCAGCGTTATGTAATCATCTCATAGCACAAGTAGAGTTTGATTGCTGTGTTTGCTAAAGCTTTGGCAGTAGCTGTTTTTCACCATTACCACGGTCAGCTGTATAACTTGACCTACAACTGTAGTTTCCCTAAATAAGGGGGACCCCAATATAAACCCCTGATTTTGGGAAACCCCTGCAAGTACAGTTGGCATGACTGTCACTTCCGCTACCCTGTACTCATCTGTACTCCAAACCCTGTTCCATTCTACTCCCATAAGATCCCCTACGCATGAATCATACCTAGGTAGGGTCTAGCAGAAACTTGAAGGGACTGTAGAAGAATGCCTAGAAATAATCAGGGACTGTAGCCGAATTGCTGGCTATAACTTGGGCGCTTCCTTACCAAATCCCTCACCCTAGCCGTAAACCCCCATCCAACCCGTTTGAGAATCCCCAAAACGACCCATGCTTCATGGCAATTTACTGTTTAAATATAATAATAATATCACTGTGTCTTTACCGCGTCCCCGGCTCGGTTTGGAACTTGGGGTTTAGATGTTTAGGTTTAAGGTGTCCATGAACCTTCAAAACTTAAACCCCAAACCCTAGAAAGCCCCGTCAGGCTTCCACATCAGCCGCTGAACAAACGGATCTTCTTCGAAGGGCGACGCACCGGAGGCGTCTCATCCGCTGGCCTGGCCTTCAAGACTTCCCTTTGAGTTTATAGGGTTTGGGGTTTTGAGTTTAAGGTATAGGGTTTGGGGTTTAAGGTTCAGGGTTTACGGTTTGTGGGTCTCCCAAAACCAGGGGTACGTTTCTTGGAGTTTCCTACTCAAGCAAACAAAGCATTGGTCTAGGGTTTAGGTGTCAGGGGTTTGGCGCGTTTAGAATGTGAGGGTTTGGGGTAGATGTCCAGGACATGGGTCTAAGGCTTTAGGACTTGAGATCTTACCCTCTAAAACTTGCTCAGTGATACAGGGAAGTTGAGGGCTGGGAACCAGGTGCTAACAACAGCAGCGATAAGCTAATGCTTCAAGGTCTAGGGTCTGAGGTGTTTTGCAGGGAATGAAAGAATAGACTCTTGTTCCGTTAGTCTTCCAAGTAAGATAAAGTTCATAACAGTTGCCTTCATCATGCTATGTCATTAGAACAGTCGCCATCATAAGTGTAGAATCGATGGTAGCGCTATGAATAACAGCAGTAATCCTAGAAATGGTCACAACATTAACAATCCTCATAACTGATATTCTAATAACGAGAGTTCCTGGTTTAAGGACCCAAAAAATCTGAGACCCCTGGACCCTAGCATTATCCAACACACACACACACACTAGCTTTGAACGTGCAACCCATTATTTGTCGGCTAATACATGGAACATTCAACAATAAGGGGCACGCAGCGTGTGATAAGAGGCGACAAAATTTTGAAAACTATTCTAGCCCCAAAACCTAAACCCGAAGCCCCTAAACCCAAAAAAACATCCCGAAACCTTACGCCCTAAATCCCCCATACGGCCCATAAGCACATATACGACACATCAATGTCCAGGTGCTTTTCATTTAGATTCTCCACTAACCCTAAAGGCTGAACCCTAAATCCTAAACGCTATAACCGCTTATATACTTGATACCCGAGAATACCCGTACACATCCCTACACCCAATATTCTAAATGGCAAGTTGCCTTTGAAAACTTCGACCATCCGCCCTTTCGGTCTCCTAAGCTCCGGTGGTCATCGGACGCACCTGACATCTGCGGGGATCGTTTCCGGCTTAGGGTTGGGAGTTTTAAGGCTTAGTTTGGGTTTGGGATAGAGGGTGCGAGGTTTAGGGTTTAAGCCCATTTGGAGTCATGTTCAGGATGTAAAGGCATAGAGCTTCGGGTAGACAAAGAAACCATGGGTTACGACAGGTGATTGTTCCGGGGATCGCTTGAGAATTATGTCGGGAAAGCCTTTGTTTACTCAGAAATGGCGATACGCCAAAGTTGCCAAGAATAGCATAAGTACTCCAGAAAAAAACAAATGGGGCACTCAAGTTTGAAAAGGTATCCTCTTGGAAACCCTACGACCCTTAACCGCACAACCGAGAACCCTAACTCCTAATCCATTTGCCGAAACACCTTGGGGCTCCGAAAGCAGGTGCAGGATGCGAGACCCGGAGGCCATGTGCGCAGGCCTGGGAATTCAGGTTTAGGGTCTCAAGGTTTCATGTTGCAAGCTTTAAACTCTGAAGTTTAAGGTTTAGGGTTTACCTAGACCCTCCAATGCAGTACCTTTTGAATAGTCCTAATAAGATTCCTAACCAAAAAACCATACCAAACCCAAAAAATGACTACATTGGAAGACCTGGGCAGGGTTTAGAGTTGGGGCTCTTGATGGAAAAGATTGGGGCGTCAGGCCTGGGATGAATATTGAAAGACGAATTACTGTTGAGCGCACCGAGCAATAAACATACAAACAAAATCTTCTGCATACCCGAAGCCCTTAACCTTCTAAACCCTTCCGATTCCGTTTAGGGTGTTAGGGGTCTAAAGGATTTAGGGGCTTGGGGCATGATCTTGTAATGCGATCCATTTGTTGAGAGCTTGTGCTCCCCAGACTTGCCGCCTCTTTTTGTCATCCTTCGCTGATGAGTGAAAGGAAACAATGCCTATGATTTGGCTCACTTTCTTGCAGGATCTTGTTGTGAAGCCTACATCGTAAAATCAGTGCCCCGGGCTTTCTTTGGCCTGATCCCTCTCCTTTTCTTGCTGCTTCCTCCATGCCACTGCCTGCTTCCAAGCATTCCCCACCTCCTTCTCTGAGAGATCCTTGGGACGGAATCTCTTGTGTTTCTGTTTGCCATTGACCCTGCATCGGCCACGCCAGCACTGCTCCAAGAGACTCCACTTGACTCCCACCTCCGGCCCGAGCGGCTCAAAGTGCTTCAGCTCACAGAGCTTCTTGACCCGCACCACGTGGCCTTCAACTTCCTTGATGCCGAGTTCCTTGGCCAGCTCTCGCGCTGTGGCCTCAGCCTCCTCCTGTGCTGCGAAGCGACCGCGCAGAACCCTCTTCTGGGTAATGGGATGACTTAACCCCACCCGCCACTTCTGATTACATTTGTCAAACGACACGCCCCTCACCATGGAGTGCTTGCCGTGCTTGGCCTTCGGTGCTTTGAGGATTCCTTTGTGTACTAGCTCCTCCCGGTGGGCCTTGGCTTCGCACAGCGCGGCCGCCACGGCCTCCTCCTCGCCAAGGCCCTGCTGCAGGAACTTGCCGATGGGGAAGTGGATGTTGTGTCGCTTCCTGAGCTGCTGCACTTGCAGCTGCCAGCAGAATTGGGACCGATGCCAGCAGATGCCTTGCACACCGCTCTGGCGATCCAGGCTGCGGGATGGCCTGTAACCTGCCTGGCCCACCTGAGCCTCTTGCGCCTGGGCGTGGTCCCGCTGGGCCTCTGCAGCGATGCTGCTGAAGCGGGCCTGCTTGCCTCCATGTGCCTCAGAGCTGTCTAGGTGGGGTGGTACGACCGCTGGCATCTGTGACTCGCCGGAATTCCCTACACCAGCTCCCATGTGGATCAAGCGTAACCGCTGCCGCTTGGGTTTGTGATGGCCTAAGCTGGACTCGCATCCACACATTAAAAATGTTGCCACAGATTCTCCGGATATCAAATGCCAGACTCAGGACACATCCCGAATATGGAGTCTTTTGTAAATAAGTCCTAAGCCTAAGACAGTAACCCCAAAGGCTAAAGGAAAAACAAAACTTTGCAGCAGGCGGCCACAAGCCCAGTCGCAGTCTGCTTGCTTCACACAGAGCCCTTCAGCCTGCTGACAAACACAGGTTTGGCCTTGGGTTTAGGGCTTCGGGTTGAGGATTTAGGGTTTAGGGGGTCTGGGCTACGCTTCTTGCAGTAATTAGGGTTTACCGATAGTCCGATTTACCTTCAGCTCAGAGAGGGTCATACCTAGCAATTGATTGGTTAAGGCAATTGATAAATTGCAGCTCTTCCAGGCTTGGAGGACCTAGCGCTTCACTGCAATCCTTTGCCAAAATCTCACTCCACGGCTGGGGGGCACTTGCAGTTATATATATATATATTATATATGTCAAGCAGAGCAGGAATTTTGTCTAAAATAATGATGGATGGTCGCATTAGCAGTCCTTGTGATAAGAAGACAAGAGGAGAAGACTGCCCCACACAATAGTTCGAACAACCATGAATGATGGTGTTGTGCGTTGGGCTTAGTGTCGCACCCAATCCACGCAGATGCCCCCCTCTTTTATGGGAAAGACATGGCAGCAAATGAACCAGGTTCAGCGCGGTCATGAAGTCAGCGGTTCGGATTTAGGATTTTGGATTGGTATGCGGATTCCATCAGCATCAGGGGTGTCGAGTTGAATCATGTTGTATTGAGCTGCTCGACCAATAAACACAATGCTCGTAAACGAGACCCGACAGTTGCCATGCCAGTTTGGGGCATGGTAAGGACAAGCTCAGATTATCGCCAGCCATTAGTGTAGCCACTTGCAATTCTCAAATTGCGAAACAAGTTTGGAAACACTGTATAATATGCCTACATGACCCCTGGACTACAGTTCTACTATATTTCCTTAAAGGTCCGCCCTAAACTAACTTTAGTCCGTAGCTCACATAGATTAGAGGGTAGTACAGACCTGATAATTTACGGTTCAGCGTCAAGCCCACAGAGACGCTACCACGCCCGAACCGTGACGACCCTCGTCTCACGGATGCTTAAGGGCGAGTGGAGGGGCGGAAAGATGTTCCGTATAGGAGTTCCCTACAGAATCCCCTATAACACTGCCTTTGTCCGCTCCCCAACTCCCCTCAAGCACCCTAAGCCCTAAAACATGTGTTAGTTCCAATGGTTCAGTCCACTCCCTCTAATAAATATTGAGCGTCAAATTCAAGGGTTAGGTGCGAGAAAATGTCTGGGATAGCTGGTGACTCTATGGCCTGTAAGGGTTCTCAGTTATAGCATTAATCCTATTATTCTTTTGCTACTATTCGTACAAAAATAACAGTAATGATACTATTATTCTTGCTATTAGTATACTTGCTAGGTCCCCCTGACCCTTCAAGTACATAACGGTTCAGACAGCCAATTTTATGATATCGTAGTTTAAGCTCCTGAACGACAACCTGGAAGATGTGGGCCAAGGTCTAGGGTTTGGGGTTTAGGGTCTAGGGTTAAGGGTTTAGGGTCTTGGCTCTCAAGTTGCGAGGCCGGGTGGGACAGTGGAAGCCACACGGTTTAGGGCTAAGGGTACTCAGTGTTTTTTAATGCGTTAAGCATTTAGGCTCTCGGGGAAAAGGGGGCTAGAACTTCTTACTGGTTCTTAGTAGGAAATAAGGGAATATAATCCTCATATAAACCCTATGAAATATATAACGCCCATATTCCCTACTAACCCCCTAAACCCTAAACCCTAAACCCTAACCCCCAATAAGACTTTGGGTCTCAGAGCTTCGGTCATTGCCCCTACGCCTTGCACTCTAAAGCCTCAACTCGGAATCCTAAACCAAATCTTGACTCCCAAGCTCTTGACCCTGAACCCTAAATGGGGTTTCCGGAAATTAGGAGCACTTTCTTGGGGGGTCCCTCTAAATAGGATCACAGTATTGAGGGGTCCATATTGGGGTCCCCACATTTTGAGAAACTACCATGCGGCCTCCATCACTATCTCTTGCTTGATCTGGTCCTTCAGATGGTCATCCAGCGAGTCAGTGACCCCGTCCATTGACTCCATGTTGGAGCTGCTCGACGTGGCACTATCCTAAGGCATCCTATGGCTTCGGAATTGGGACTTCTCTCTTCCTACCACAGTAGAGACCAAGACTTTATTGTAGAAACCAAGGCGCTCAAAACTCTTCTGTGGACTCAGGAAGTTTTTGGAGCCAGGGTTAAGGGTTGAAGGATGGGGCTTAGGGATCCTAAACTAGCAAACGGTTTTTTTCCCGCTACAAGCTTCTTCCGATACCGCCCACAAGTCAATCTGGAAGCTTCTCGTTTGCAGAGGGTTTAGGGTCCCAAAATGATCTTCTCTAAACCCTAAACCCCTAACCCGGGTCCCTCAGATTACGACTATACAAGAAATTGCTTTGTTGAAGCCCTGCATTGCCCAATACCCGGTTTAGGGTCCCGGGTTTTAAGGTATCTGGGCCCCTGATTAATAAAGATTTTGAGAAACTGTTTTGGCCAGATTAATGGCCACAGACTACTGAAAAAGTACGGATGCATTTGTGGGTGAAGTTCAAGTTCGTTGAGGGTGTAATCTGAAATCCAAGGAGGCTGAGGCTTTTGCTTTTGAGGTCATTACTGCGTACTTATTCCACGGAACTGGACTATTTTTCATTACTTCCTCTTCTGCGAGGAGCTTACTAATTTCAGGTTGCCCCACCTAACAAAGCGTTTCTCACTAGGGGTTCTATCGAATGCTTTGGGTATAGAGGGGCCTAATCTTTGAACTGAACCCCCAACTCTACACCCCAAACCCCTGAAACTCTCAGCCTCTAAAACCTTAAATGCCAAACTGCTTTGGGGCCGGATGTAGGTTTAGGTTTTACATAATGCTCGAGGCTTCAGGGTTTGGCAGTGCTTGGTTCAGGCCTCAACCTGTTGACTTTAGAGCATCTCCAGGAAACACTGCGCTGACTACGGCTCCGATTCAGGAATCAACCCCTGGTGACTTGTGCCTCCAGATACGCGACAACTCTTTGAGTCTCTGCATTGGGGTTCTAGGCCTCAATCCACGATCATGGCTCGATTTCGAGCAACTCGTTGCCGGTTAGGGGTTGGGAGTTAGGATTCAGGCTTCAGGGGTCAAGCAATAGCAACCAAGTCTCCCAAAAAGCGAAAGCTGCCGGAGAAAGCCAGGAAGCTCCGAGTACCATTGCATCAATGAATCAAGCGAGTGCCGAGGCTGCGCAAGCTAAAGCCAAGCTTAAGGCGTGCTGTGTCTCGAAATGCTATAGCTGGGTTGGTATTAAGGAACGTAAGTTAAGTTACCATGTCGAGGGTTTTTGTTTGTTAATGGGTTTCCGGAGTATAGCAATTGATTCAGCTTGCTTAACAGCAACCCAGATAATTGAAGACTCTATGCCCACACAACCTTAATGGCCTTGATCAATGGTATGTGTTGTCGGTCATGCAATAGGGAGTGCCGATAGTTGCAACAATCTAACAACAATGCCAGAGACAAATACGTTTGCTGCAGATTGTGTAGAGAAATAAAACAACGAATTGATCAACGTGTAGGGTGTTCCCTGCCCCGAATTAACAAAGGAACCTACATAGGCCCTTTTGCAAAAACATGGCAGCATAGATCTTACACCTTGAATTGAACCTGAAATCCCAAACCTTGAACGGTTCAAATCCACGTGAACTGAATTAAACACCCTCAACAAGCGGAGTTGCGTCCGGCCGCCGCCGTCAACAACGTGCCGACTTGCCCCTGCTTCCTGCAGGGATGCTCGGCTCGGGGGGGCACAACTTTATTGGGATAATGGAAAAGAAAATGGAAACTACTATAATATGGGGTTATATAGGGATTATATTGGGGTTATATAGGGATTATATTGGGGTTATATTGGGATTACATTGGGGTTATATTGGGATAATGGAAAAGAGAATGGAAACTACTGTAGTATATATTCAGGGATATGGGGTCTATATTGGGGTTATATTGGGGATACATTTTGCTCAAAGCTTTGGGTCTGGGAGGCGCGATCGGGATCGTGGATTCAGGGTTGTAGGAGACTCAAGTTGCGTTAGAAAGTGCAACAGACTTCCGATGCACCACAACTTTTCTGATGGGATTTCAGATTTCAGGGACCGGTTTAGGGGCCAGAGTTTAGGGAACGCGAAATAATTCGGCTACTAGACATGCTCACCATATGAGCATCACCGATATGACAGGCAGCCGCATCTAAGAATCCAAGACACCCCCACGCCCAATCTGCTTTTGCAAGGCCCCTACCCTCCTTTTACAGTTCCCGGACCCACAAATGCAAAACAACAGTCGCCTACCACCGAAATGAATGTTGCTCCGGAAGAACTCATGATTCTCTGATGCTCGTGCACTATGGTGCACTGACATTTATGCATACCTTTCATGAGTGAAGCGCCACTACTGCGACAAATCACTCGAGCTTCGTTTGCCCGCGAAACCCTGAGCTGTGTCAACAAGTCACTCTAGCAAAAGGATTTGTAAGAACATAGTCCTCCTAAAGTAGATAGAATATGGGGTATCTTTGGATCCCATCTTTTGATATACCCAAAGCCATATTCTATCTACTTGAGGGGGACTATACCTACTATCGAAAAACCTCCAACGTAAAAACGTGTAAAGTCCCCAGTAAGCTTTATCGACTTCGGAAGATGCGCACCCTCGCGAATGCAAAATGAGACCCCCTGCGAAAGCTTGCACGAGTTCCCTGTCGAAATAGTACCACAGTTATCATTCTAGCTTGCGTGTTGAGTTTGAATTTCTGAAAATAGAAGTCACACAATGACCCAGCACATAAGCCCGCGAAACTCCATGAGGACAAACCTCTTGCTCAAAACGCCTGCCGAACCTCTGTCGAAGCTA